ATGCCTCTTGATTTATACTTCTGTAAGTCGCCGGTCTGCCCTTTTCCACCGGGCCCATGGTGCACACAGTCCCTCATGGTACTTGCTGACAGTACAAAGTGAGACTGGGACTGGGTACCGCTGAGTAAGCGAAGTTGGACTCACCACTTGCCCACTTGCCTCTGGACTGCTGTGAGTAACGTGAGAAAAAAAACTCGAAAGGCCACGTCCGGACCTTCCGGAAATCTGTGGACTTGCCCTTTCGGGACTGTACCAGCTACAACCTTGACCTTTCAGGACTGTAGCAGCTACGACCTTGACCTTTCAGAATGGCTACAGCTACGGCCTCTACACAACTATGACCCCTACTCGACAGACCTACAGATCGAACCCCTACAGCTACACAGACCTACAACAGGCAACAGTCAACTACCAAAACACAGGTCACGGGTTCAAACACACAGGGGTCGACTCGATACTGTACACGGGTGCAGGTAAGGTCTAGGGATCGAGCCCTGGGATGTGCATCTGCTACTGCAAATGTGAAAACCGTTTCAATTCCGTAGAGAAAAGGATTAAAGAAACAGCATACTGTACATAACTCTTTCGTAGACTCCTCAGCAGGGCAAGTAGTGTGAAGGTGCTGCCTTGCGAGCCATAGGCCAAGAGGGAAAAGGACAAGAAACAGAGTGATAGAGGGCTGTGGCAGCCTTCCGCCAGACTCTAGCSGGAAGCTGAAAGCGGCCTATCACCAATGTGCCCACACTAGAGGCACATAGTAGCAGTTGATATGACGTGGATAATGTTTGTGCACACAGAGGTGAGGGTCGCCAGCACAAAAATACCAAGTGTTCCCTCTATCGTCCTCCCGACAACAAGCACTGGATACCTCAACACCTCTGTGCATGCGCTTGGGGATCCTGAGCCCTCCAAGTACACTGCACGAGTGTGCAATCGCATCATTCGCTTTCTGCACCTATGATGCGTTCTATTGCCCCCCTGAGTCAAGCTCGAAGGGACCTTGCATGTGCGACGGAGGCAGTGCAATGACCCACACAGTTGCAGTCTGAGAACTCTGCACTGCTCTGAGAAAAAGTGTTGCCTCTATCGTCCTCCCGACAACAAGCACTGGATACCTCAACACCTCTGTGCATGCGCTTGGGGATGCTGAGCCCTCCAAGTACACTGCACGAGCGTGCAATCGCATCATTTGCTTTCTGCACCTATGATGCGTTCTATTGCCCCCCTGAGTCTAGCTCGAAGGGACCTTGCATGTGCGACGGAGGCAGTGCAATGACCCACACAGTTGCAGTCTGAGAACTCTGCACTGCTCTGAGAAAAAGTGTTCCCTCTGTCGTCCTCCCGACAACAAGCACTGGATACCTCAACACCTCTGTCACTCTGTGCATGCGCTTCGGAATGCTGAGCCCTCCAAGCACACTGCACGAGCGTGCAATCACATCATTCAGTTTCTGCACCTATGATGTGTTCTATTGCCCTCCTGAGTCTAGCTCGAAGGGACCTTGCATGTGCGACGGAGGCCGTGCAATGACCCACACAGTTGCAGTCTGAGAACTCCTGCACTGCTCTGAGAAAAAGTTCAAGTCATAGTTGCGGTGCACGTCGGTGCGCCGGTTTGCGCACGGTTTGCGCACGTCGCGCCGCGCACCGCACATCGCACCGAAGCGCAGCGCACTTGAAAAACTAGGTCCAAAAAAAAAACAAGAAAGTGGGGGTTTTCTAATTTCTTAGGGCCCCCAGCTCGGCAAAAATGTTAAACTCACCGCGCAAGTTCACGAACCGGCCGCGCCCACGGCCCGAACTTTTCTTTTGGGTAAGGGCTGCTGAAAATTCGATTTCCGCAGGCCCTTCCCCAAAAAGTTTCGAAAGGCTAGACTCAAAATAGGGCTCATTCCAACTTTTGTTTTAGGCGGGGCATGAGAGATGTCCTTTCCGCTGCCTTCTGCAAATCCCACACAGTAGTGGGGTTAGTTCGCGAGAAGGGGTAATCACCTAATAACGTCATGCCACACGCAACTTCGCAGAAGTTTCAAGTTGAATGTTCTACTGCCAGCCGACCACCAATATATTCTGAAGATCGGCGTTCAGGTCCGCATGTCGGCAGTTATGGGTTAGGGTGAAGATGCCCGTGGCTCTCTCGTTTTTCTGTTTTTGTTTTCTTACGAATACGTCCAGTGGGGCCTGCTCCACTACTCACCGAAGGCACAAAAGACATAGCATATGGCGGTGTATGGTTCCATGNGCACAAAAGACATAGCATATGGCGGTGTATGGTTCCATGTTTCAACAGAAGATTCATTCTGCTCTCTCGTTTTTTTGTTTTTGTTTTCTTACGAATACGTCCAGTGGGGCCTGCTCCACTACTCACCAAATGTACAAAAGAAGCATATGGCGGTGTATGGTTCCATGTTTCAGCAGAAGATTCATTCTACTAATATTATATACATTTGATGAGTGGTGGAGGGAGGCCCTGAGAATCACGTGGAGACACGAACAGGGTCTAGCTGAATTGGTGACCCATAACTGCCGAGCTACAGCCCTGAACTCGAATCCACAGCATATATTGGTGGTCTGCCAACGGCTCTCACACACGTGATGAGGCCATCCTTCTCAAGTAAACTAGCCCTTAATGGCTTAACATGTATTGTAGCAGCCTTTCGAGGTACCTGCAGGGGTCCTCGAATTGACGAGAAGGGGACCTTTTGTTGGCTCTCTCTTATCTCTTTCTCTCTCTCTCTCTCTCTCTC